TACTTCAATGTGCATGTAACTATGTGAGCTGAAAATTTTTATTAATTAGTTCTGAAATTACACAGAATCGACATTATTGGGGTTTAGACTGTTGATCACATAAAAACTGACCTTCTTGGGCTCAAGATGGGCATTTTTGTTTTACTATTTTTAGACATTTTATTGATTAAACAAGTAATCAAAAACTAAAAACAAAAGGAATGCAATGTACTGTATAGGTACCAAAAAGTAGGTATTTCTGTTTAAACAGTCAAACCAAGTCTGTCTTGATAAGCATGTCTACATCTTACAGGAGGTAAGGACTTAACGCAGTCCAAAAGAACACCACCACAAACTACGGACTCAGAAATGAACATCAAGTCAAATCAACACATCTCTGAAACAGACTTAATAAAGTTCACTAAACTAATATTTGTTGCAGGTCAACTTGTTATTTTGCAGACCTTGAGTAAATGTAATGTCTGGTGGACATTTTGCTGTCATCCTTCCCCTCCTGACACTTGGCTAGTGGAGCATGAAGGGAGGATAGAACAGGCCTGAGATGCTCCTTTAGGAAGAGCGCGCTCTCTCTCTCTCTGTCTCTCTCCCCCCACTGCTGGCACTGCACCAGCAGAGAGAGCACTGATTGGGAAAGCCATATGGCAGGTAACAAACCAAGGGCAGGCTTCATGTCCACACTGTGCTGCGGCTCAGGCATCCTGCCATCGCATCCAAAGGGCTCATCTGATTTGGCTCTGTATTCTACAAGTATGTAGACCAGAGCTCTGTGTAAATATGCCATGACTGTTACTGACGCTGCACCATCACCAGCTCGGCGGTGTGAACAGCAGTTCAGTGGTCTCATAGCCGCAACGTCAGCAACGTCACATCCACTGGGAATGGCAATGGCCTTAGGCAGCTTTACAATCACTGCTGTTATGTAGATCTGTCGAAGCGCAGCACAGCAGTGTGTAGGCAAAGCAATACTTTGTTCTGTTTGGCTGTTTAAAGGAGGCGTGTCTACTGATTGTAGCAATTACATTACTGCCACTATCCTTTTACTGTAAAGGACAGAGGTGATGAGTCTGCACCATTTTTTTTGATCTGTGACAAAAATAGCTCAGATTGAAATCTCTCATCTCTGTAAACCATTTAGGGGGGTCTCTAACAGAAGCTGTCATTTGTGAATTGTTAAGTACAACAACTGCAGGTTTAGCAATGCTGGCAACCTCTCACTGAAAACACAGGAAAAGCTTGGCTTTCCAAATGTGTATAGATGGAGGAACAGTGGCATTTTTTAAATCTCTCATGATGATCAACAAACTACAGTCAGTGATGAAAAGAGCAGTTCAAAAAAAAGTGACTCAGTGTGTAATGCCCAAGATACTAAAATAACTGCTGCGCTTTTTCACATAGTGCCTGACCAGTGAAACATTCAAAAGGTAAAAGATGAAGAAGAAGTTAAGTGTGGTACTCAAAAACATGAAGCTGCAATGGCTGAGGAACAGGCCATATATCCAGTTCAATTCTGCCATCTAGTGGTGTCACAGTGCACATGACAAGGGAGGTGCTGAGTGATGCTGTCTGAACCTCTCGGACTGAGAGTCAACTGATACTACAAATGCCATTAATGGAATTAAAGCATATGTTACAACACAACTTTCACCTCCAATCTTTGTCTTTTGTCTTTTTCTTGTCACTGGTCTTCTGCCTACTGTATGTTATGCTTTAAAGTCAATAACGTAGAGAAATACTGTTTTCACAGCATTTAACCTTTCAGATTGAAGCACAGCTGGTATGGGACGAAAACTGAGGAATGTTAAGATGAGTGTGACAAGATTTACTACCTCAATGCTTAGCTGGCACACACAGGGAGAGAAGATGTGAACTCGAAGGTTGTGTGATCAGAGAACTGGATTTCAGGTTTTATGTGTACTGAAGGGCGTGTATGTATGCTAAATCAGTGTCAAGCTAATACATTTAGTGGACCTTTCAAAATTCAAACAATAGGACAGCTTCTGCTCTCTTGAATGGGCCATACTGGTGGATGTTTTAATCTATTTACTAAAAATGTAATTTACATTACATTTACACACAACATAACTCTGACAATAAATAAATAAAATGCGACTAAACTTTTCAGTTTCAGTCTCTTTTATAAAGGAATGACTCCCAGGAAGTTAGGAAATAAAAGCAAACTTAATGCTTCAGGAAATGGTCAGCAGTAATGTTGAGTGATATTTAAGATTTAATAGTTTATGGGCTAAAACATGCAACATCGTGATCATATACTGTTTGATCATAATGAAACATCTGACCGGGCCGCAACACTGGTGTGTGCATGTAAATACAGGTATGACCTCGAAGAAGAAAAAATGTAAGACTGACAAGAGTGAAAAGGGGCAAAGAGGGAGGATTAAGAGAGGAAAGGAAATGGAACAGGAAGTGCAGAGGAGGAGGCCGGAGGCTGGTGTCCGTCCCCCTGAGTCCCATTCCGTTCCCCTCGCAGCTCCCTCCTCTCATTCCTCATCTCCTGTCCTGCCATGTCTCTTTTCCTCTGTGTATTTATCTTCCCATGATTCCTTACACACGGCTTCCTCTGGCCCCTTTCATTAAAAGAATTATTCCACCCTCATCTCCGCTCCATTCATCTTTTCCTCACAGGTGGCGAAACCAACATAACAAAACTCTCCCAGCGCACATTGTCCCTCTGTGGTCTGCTGGCTTGGACCACAGAGGAAACGTGATGGTATTAATCTGTCACTTTCTGAAATATCTGATTCACTTTAGTAACATTAAATGGCAATACTGTTTCAAACCCTGAAACCTGAGAATACTAGAATAGCCTCTGTCGATCGTTAAAGTAATTACTGGTTATCTTTTACAGGGTATAGCCTAACCAGAGCCAAAACAGCTAGTGACCACCCTTGTGACAGCCAGCAAGTCCTCACTTTGTGCCAATCTGTTCCTTTAGATGTACAGCACGCCTCCTTCCACCTGTCTCCTATTCTTCTTTTGTAATCAGGCGTCCCTGCCAATCAATTTGATCGCCATGACAACATTTCGCATCACGCCCCCTCCAAACACCGCCACCACCCGCCCCTATAAACAAAAAACAACACAAAAAAACGAGAAAGAAAGAAGCTGAATTCCGACAGCTCAGGATTGATGAGGGGGAGTCCTGTCAAAGGCCAGAGATTAGATTAGGACTGAAGCACACACACGCAAACCACAACACAGCTCAGAGGCAGCAGGTGCCTTTGGTTAAAACTTAATTACATGATCTCTGATTTCTCTAATTGATATGGTAATGACTATGTAATTAATGCAAAAGCAGTCATACCAGCAGCTTTCCTAATGAATGGATTTATTTGATTAGATATCCTCCTGCATATTTATGCATGCTGGCATGCAGACGACAGTGAGACGTATAAAACAGTTGTTTGTGGTTGTTGTCACAGTGTCACTACCGCTGGCATGCCACGACTACAACACTGCTCTTTTGAACACAAAGGAAGCTGCTTGCGAACAGATCATGGAAAGAAACTGTAAGTTAAGGGATGCTGTATGTTTGCTGCTTCTTATAATTCTAGTGAAGAACATAGGGCTTTATAAGAATGGAAAAATTTGTGGTGCTCTTTCACAGGTAGGTGGCGCCTCATACACAAAATAGGCCACAGTTTGCATGAATGAATATGATCGCGCTGATGCAGCATTTGACGTTTGAAAATCACAAAAAAAGTAGTCAAAATAAGTCTAAAGATATATTTTGGCTTGAAGACAACTCACATCTGCTTAGAGCAGCAATAAAATGCTAAAACCCCTCTACACTTACGCTCACACACAAACACAGAGCTATAACTTCATTGGCAAAGGGTCAACTGTGACAACTAGATGTGACCCAGCTGCAATTACTTTCTGCCTCTGCAACACTAGCAAGGAGGGAGGAGGTCGGATATTTGGGGAGAGACTCCAGTATGACAAGTCACCATCTGGGGAGGTGAATTAATTTCTCCTTGCTTTCCCCAAACCGTCCTCACTGCTTGCTGACTCTAACATGTGCCTCCATATGTCTTCTCCTCCTCTCTTGTGAGATATCTGGAGGGATGTTTCATGGGGAAGTCAAGTGAAAGCACATGTGGGCCCTGACCAGGTGTGAAAAGCAGAGACCACAGGCCTCTCCATCTTTCACTTAACCATAACTACGCCACCCAAACACTGCTCTGACGGCTGATCCGGACACCACTGTACCCGTCTCTACTATTTATAGTCTACAGGTCTGCAAATGAGAGAATAAAAAAATCCAAAACAGATAAGACTGACAGTTTTGCTACCACACAGGCTGATGTTCTTTAATGGTTTCACTGACTGGTGAGAAAGATTTTGTATGTTGTGTTTTAGATGGAGCTTTGACTAAAAGACAAATAGCACATCACCTACCTCTCATGACAAGGTACAAGTGGATGTCCACTGAAAGACAACATATTTACCCAGTTTGAGGGGGAAATGAACTGCTGTCCACACTATTGTACACAAAGTGAGTTAAAAAACTGCTGAGTCATAAAACCTTGTTATTTTTCTTTCTAAGCAGTTGAACATCTTCTACCGTCTTTTAAGGCTTAAATAATTGTCTTTATTAAAAATATATATATACTGAACTGGCATAAATCCAGGCTTTTGTCAGTTGTTTAAAAAGTGTGGGGCATATAATTTTCACTCTTTAAACAATTATAGCTGAAGGACATGAGAGATGACTCGGGGGCGTGTGTGCAGTTTGCTCAAGGCCTAGCTGCCCTGGCTGCAGAGCTTCAAGGCCAAAAGGGGTACCATTTATGACAAAAATCCATAAAAACGACAATGAAACACAAAATAAAACTTTCCACAAGCTTGGTTTTGGATGTGCTGCTTACTTATTCCATTTGCTGAACCGCACATCTGACGACGGCCTGGCTTGCAGAGACAGACAGCTAATACCATAAATGAATGGAGGAGCGCTAACGTTAGTTGGTTAACTAACTTACCTCTGAATAATGTGTTTCTTACGGGGCCACTCGGGCCACGGTTGATGGATGGCCTTACAGAAGCGGGTCAATTAGCCAGGCTGGGTTTCCCTCCATGCCGGCTGCAGACAGCACCGGGAGAGCTCCTACCTCTGTCACGCGGCCTGGCTGTAATTAATCACCAGTGTGGGGCCTTCTCACCTCACAACGCCGCGCGCACAAGCAGCCAATACGTACGTTTGGCCCAAATTACATCCCCACTCCTCTAATCTGGCTAATTGTCAGTATTATACCTAGAGGAGGAGAAAGATCGTGACATAAAAAGTATTTTCTATCGACAAAATATATATCTTACAGAATAATCTGCATACTGCATATTTTATAAGAGAATCCTGTTAGTGATATACTAACAAGGCAGACCCAAGCAATACAGTGAAAGTGAAACTGTTGGAGACAGGTAAGTAAAACTTAAAATTAACAATTGGGTGCCACAGCCTGGCTTTAATTTAAGTTTGTTTCTACAACAGTCCACATTTAACTAATGCATCTACATCTAACCTAGCTAATTAGCTAAAGGCACAGCCTGTGTAAATACAATGCCCAGGGCTAAGCAATGTAAACACGAGGGTGCCCTCCTCACCCACCAACCCAGCAATAGCCAAAAGGCAGGTTTGGACACTCCAAAATGTATCCTTTAACAAGTCAACACCAGGCAACAGCCACATCAAAGTGTATAATGTTTTTTTAAGCTGTTAATGGTTTGTTTAATGTGAATGTTTGTACATGCATACAGGAGTACAGCCAGTGTATATGTTAAATTACGAATAGAAACATGAAACATAGGCCTACAGAATTTCAAATTTCAATAATGTATGTAAAATCACTATGAAAGAAAAATACTGATAGCAACTTAAATCTACATAATGAAGAATTCATACATTTAACATTATAAAATATTTTAGGTTTGATAAAGTTTTCAGCACAAAATCATGAAACAGGACCTGAGCATAAGGGGAACTTACATAATGACATTTAACATGTAATTTCTCATGGAAGCGCCGTTCTAGTTACACATCTCAACCCATGCAGCTGTTACTGTGCAGTTCTGTCTGACACACACACACACACACACAGGTACACAGAGCACAGATTGAGAGGCAGGGACAGAGACGTCACTCTGTGTTCACAGAACATACTGCTGTGGTCTGGACAAAAGCAGCAGGCTGACAGATGAGGTTTGTGTCTGGGGGCAGGGGAGCTATGTGTTGCTGCCTCTGTGCTGAGTGTGTGTGTCTGTGTGTGTGTGTGTGTGTGTGTGTGTGTGTGTGTTTGTGTGTGCACGCACACATGTGGTGTGTTGTACTTATGCATATGTGCGTGCATACATGTCTCAGTGTGTGTGTGCTCCTATTTGAGTATGTGCTCGCGTTTGTGTGTGTGTGTGTGTGTGTGTGTTTACATGTGTGTATATATGTGTGTGTATTTTGCTGGGAGGGGTGGTCTCATGGGGCAGCTCTGTGTCTGTCCCATCTGCCATCCCACTCTACTGACACCCAAGGGAATGGCAGAAAGGGTGGGGGATTCATTTTGGAAAAAGGAATCGGGGTCCAGTGGTCTAATGGGCAACAATGCAGGTTTTACTGACGGGCTGAAGGCAAAGGACACCGGCTGGGTGTGTGGAAGCCAATCTACCAATCTATTTGACAAAACAGTGGGCCACCCCTGTCAAGCTCTGCCTCAGTCTGTCTAATAAGGCACGCACACCCCTGAAATTATGCCTCAAATGAGAAAGGGGTGCACTGTATTTTACCAACACACACAGACGTTACATACACCCTGGGCTAATGTCAGCCTAATGCATGGCCATGCTGTGGCCAGAGGGCTAATTGGGTATATAAACACAAACACATCCCTTGAGAGGCAAGACGGAAAGGGTGTATTTTGTCCTATATGCTCCCTGTATTGTTAAGAGACAATACTGTAACTTAAACGTGGAAGCTCATCAGTACTTTAGCAGTATCAATAATGAAAGATGACATGGTTTTTGCTTTCATACACCCAGAAGCTAGATGCTCTTTTGAAACTGTGCATACAATGTGATGTGGAACGACTTGCTGGCAGGTGGCTTCTCATCCTGTCTTTATCCATACTGTGATCAGAAGACAGTAAATGGCGCCGCTGCAGCTACAACAACAGCAACAAACAAAACAGTCATGTGGAAGAGAAGCATATGGCTCTTGCACCACTGGGCAGAAGGAGCACTCAGCAAGATGAATACTGAGGTGCTGGCAACAAAGCTGACTTTAACTTGTCAAATTAACAGCATATCAAAAGAGAGAGAGAGAGAGAGAGAGGAACGAGAGAGAGAAAGGGGGGGAGGAGGAGGAGGAGGAGGAGAAAGAAGCACCAGCCTGAGATTTTTTGACAAGTGCCACTTGATGGTGACAAAGACAGCACAGTGAGAAACAGAGACTTGCTGTTGAGGTCAGATCACAGCCGTTGGAAGTTCTCGTGTCTCTCACTGTCACCGAGCTGAGTTGTTGATACACTGTTTGTCCATACATGTATCATACAAACACACACACAGGCATGCATCCACTGTGTGCTACCCTGCCCCCTCACAGCTTTGAGCGCTATGTTAATGAAACAGTTGCTGTTTCCTGGCATAACATTAATTACCCGATCAAAATAGAGTGGGTAATTAACTGCCCTTCTTTACCAGTGCTAATTACATTAGCAGAGAAGGGCCATTTCAGGGGAGCAAAAGAGAGGAGAGAAAGATGGGATAAAGCAGTACCAAACAAAGACTTAGTGAGGCACATGCCTAGGTATGTGTGTGTGTGTGTGTGTGTGTGTGTGTGTGTGTGTGTGTGTGTGTGTGTGTGTGTGTTAAGAGCGAGAAAGAGATGGAGAGGAGGAGGCCACATTGGAGGGAGACTCGTGGTTCTTACTCGGGCCCCCAGAGGCTTGGTCCTCAGAGAAAAGCAGGCTTATTGAAGAGGAGAGAGATGGGGGGGGGTGTTGTTGTTTATCTTGACATGCTCTACTCAGTCTTCAACGCTCGCATCACAATTAAGATGCTGCGGCTCATCAGCCATGTATACAAAACAGTGTAGCAAGCTGCACAAGCACACAGGTGATGGGCACAGTCAAAAATAGATCCAGCACAACCTTGAGATGTCGAGGCTTGAAAGAAAATCTCAAAGTCCAGGTAATTGTCAGACAATCCATTGTGAGTGAAAATATTTCCTGTGTAATTCTGTTTCTGCACACATGTAAAAAGAAACCACAAAGACATGTTAATACTATATAAGAACCGACTTAAGAACATAAGAACAACTTCAAACCAGTATCAGTGAGTTTTTTTTTTCTCATTTCTTTTATTTGGAGCACAAAATATAATTACACCTTGAGATATACAAATCACATTTGCACAATTTTTTGTACCGTTTCAAAGAAAGATGGCTTCAAAAAGCATAATATTAAATTGCTAATAATTTTTAAATAAATAGAATTAACCAAACTTTTAAAAACAAATTTGCAAATGTCATCTACTCTTTGTGTTTCTTCGTCCTGAGAATGAAGTTTGTGTTACAATGACAAAAATCAGTAAGAACAGCTTGATATGAGTTAATGAACACCTAATACGCCCCGTTCTTTTCTACTGAGCAGTTTGTGCTTTCATGTACTGTACTGCATAGTGACTAGAGATCTGTACTGGGTCGAGCAATTTAAAATGAAACCGTAAAATCTATAAGTTATAATCATATAAATTCAAATTTGTGGAAGAATGTGGAATGAAATAATATCAGGGCATTGGTGTGACAAAGCATGCATTATAAGTGAAATTATAAAGAATAAGGCTAACTAACATTTTTCCTTTACACAAGGACAATAACCTTCTTTAGATGTGGGCATAACATTAAGATTTTGCAATTCAAGAACCTGAAAGCTGGGGTTGTTTTATTCCAAAACATTGTGTTAGAGTTTATCTTCTCCACCAAAAAATCAATTCCCATTGATCATTCAGCAAATTAATTAGCAATTGTTGAGGTACTTTCAGTTCAGTGACAGTTGGAAAAGGACCACTTTATAAAAACATGTTTATATTATTCCCTAAACTAACTATAATAAGTTAAATTGCTTGTTCTTAAATAAATCAATATATGAATTCCTTTAGTAATAACCCTTAAGACAAAGAGTTCTCCCTTGTAAAACCGTAGAGATCAGAACAAAAAATAAACTGTCTATTTTTCTGGAATGTAAATTGTCTTCAAAAAAGTCTACTACAAAAAAATCTCTCGCTAACTCACAGACAGCGTACACACATGCCATTTAAGGTGTCCATACACAAACAAATAGCACCCTGCTTCTTGCTGCAACATTACATCAGAGTTGTCCGTCATCCAACGACGCGTCCTGTATGTCTCTGGCCATGGTTTGGGCAGGAGTTGGAAGAACCAGATACTGCATGTGATAGTAGGCCAGAGGTAAATACAGATGCTTTTGAAGCTTGGGGTCAAATTATGACCAGTTTTCCTTTTGTTGCCTTTCAAAGTGCAGACACTTCATGACATGTACAGCGGTTTATGGTCCAGTCTGGTGCTGTTAGCTAAGGAAAATTGTCTGTCTGTAGTTGTGGGTGAAGTAATCTGCTCTGCCTCTGGAGTAGATGGCTGGTCTTTGGACATTTTCATACCCCATCATGTTGTTCATCCACTTGGATGACAAAGGGACTAAGAAATGGCGGGTGGCTCAGGATGGAAAGTTATACATGGTCGCTAGTGATCGATTTTCCGTTATCCCTGCCCTCTTAACTCCAAAAGAGGGGCTAAGTGAAGCAGTGGTCTGGGGTAGATTGGGGGTGGGTGCTTTGCTACATCGGGGGAACAACCAGGCCCGTCATCGCTGGAGAGAAAAAATATACAAAATCTATGATTCTAATCAATCAGGTCTTGCATTAATGTACATCCAGCAACTTTTTTGCTGTCTTGTTCAGTCAAAGCTTTCGAGTGGTTAGTATAAGGGGTTAGACTGCATTCGTGAGTTCAGACAGGGGGGTCAGATAGTGAGTTGGATGGCTACCTCTGAAGCTGTTCCCCCCTG